ATGACTTAAGAAGAGATTTGTGGTATACAAGTTGGATCTTCATAGACTTTGATAGATGTAAATGATAAGCAATAGGATTCACTTGTTCACAAATAAGAAAAGATCTAAGTCTACAATAATTTAACTTAAAATAAAGACAATTAGTTTTAATATTATGATGAAGTAACCATATTTTATCACCTACATTGAATTATAGTGGTTCTTTACAATAGACATCTACATTGGTCTTTTGTCATTCTTGAGCTTCTTTTAATTGTGCATTCATTGTTGCATACAGTTGTGATAAACAATTTGCTAAATCTTTTGCTACAAGATTATCAATTTTTAAAAATCAAAAATATAAAGTCATAGATGATAATTATAATTAGTAAAGAAAGGTATTTATAAAAATATATATAAAAAAAATTATTATACACAAATTCTGCCAATAGAAAAAGAATTATCCAATCATTTTAATGATACTTGATGGTATACCTCAAACATTACTTTAGAACTTGATTCATTCATTTTTTTTGTCCATTAATTTAAGGATGAAAGCCCAAAGATACTTTTGTATCCACCTTGAATATCTTAAAAAGGATTTTTCAAATGTACAATATCCTTTAGCAATTTATGATAGTAATAGATATTATCAAGAAAAAACTTATTTGTTTCTTCGCCTAAAATAGATTTTGTACAAAGTATAAAATATACCATTTTGATAAAAAAATCTATAATCATGAATGTAGAATCATATAAACTTGAACTTAGAAGATTTGTAATAAAGTCTATAGAAATAAATGACCATAGTTGTTCAAATATAAGTAATGGTTAGAGAAGTCCATAGGATCAATGACAAAGAGTTTTTGATCTTGAACAAATATTACAAGATCATACAAAGTCTTTTACAACCTTTCACATTTATAGCCACCAAAAATCTTTAGATAAAAGTTCCAAAGTCTTTTTGTATCCAAAATTTCATGCCATTGAAAAATCATCACATGCTTGAAGAACACATAAACATTCTTTTTTTTTTGGAATATAATAAATTATTTTTGAACTTGAATTTGGAAGTATCATAAAATCTAGAAGAAATATTCTTGATATCATAAATAAGAAGATCAAAGGACATATTTTATTGAATTTTTTTGACAAAGGTTGAATCAACAATCAATGTTGATTTTATTGTTCAAAGGTGAAATTGCTTAGACTTCAAGATAACCATTCTTTGTTGATCAAAAGTTGCATCTCCTCCTTTGGTATAAGATAAGAACGTCTAGAAAATACTTCTAACAAATCTTTTTGTTTTCAAGGTTGATATGTGATCTTAAAATTAAATCTTAATAATGACATGTTCCAACAAATTGAGCAACAATTCAACATCCATGTTGGCATATGGTACTTGAGATTCTTGTGATTTGTATATATGGTGTTATATTAAAAAAATAGAATCACATGTAAAAATAATATGAAATATTATGAAAATTTGGATTGTAATTAAAAATAAAATAAATATAAATATTTATCTAATTTATTTAAGTTTTTAGTTTAAATTTTGTAATTAAAAATAAATGTTTTAAGATTTATTAATAAGGAGTTTTAAAGGGCTTTCGTCTCAAAAATATAATATTTTGACTCTTAAGCCATTCCATATAGGTGGATAAGATGAATAATAAAGAACTTCATTTCCATTATTTGAAGGTCGTATCCAATGAGCTTTGAGATGTTGTCTAGGACCACACTAGAATTTGAAGCTACTTTAAGGTAGTTCATTCGAGGCAAAGTAGACCATTTAAGGCAAAAAAATGTATTTTAAGTTAAGAAGTTGGATTCAAAAAGCTTGTATTTTGGGCTAGAAATAGAATATAAGAAATGTACAATTTAGATTTTGGATAGGAGAGATATGGTTGTTTGAAGTTAAGATATGAATTTGGTACTTACCATTATTCTTTTAAGCATATAGAGAGTTATAAGAAGGTATTCAATAATCAAAAGATGGTTTTAGAAAGCTGACTTAAAGAACTACATTTTATATAAAGAAATTTTTAAATTCCGATTTAGAACAAAGGAAAAAATACTATTGAAGTTTGTACTTCAAAACTAGAATTTATAAGTGAGTTTTTTTTATAGAGGTTTTAGTTTGGACCATATCTTGAGTTTTTAGGCAAAATTTTGTCTCTAAATTTTCATAAGTATAGATAACTATGTTAAAAAATTATATATAAAAAATTCATGGTATTTGAGTATTGGATTTTTGAGATATGATGGATTTAGTGCATAGGTGCCTAAAAATTGATATATTTAAGACTTGTTAGAAATCAAGAAATATCCAAAGATTTGTAATGGATTTATGGTTGAATTTTTCTATAGAAATATTTAAAGATATAAAATAATTTATAGACAAGTTTGAATCCAATTGGATAGATAGATTGGAAGTTTTAAAATAATACATATTTAGAAAGAATTTCCATAACAATAGAAGTGGTTTTAGGATATCTAGTCACATTTTGGAAACTCTTGTGCATCTTAGACTTAAGAATTTGATGTAAATATCTTCACAAGAACAAGCTATAAATAAGATTTGTGTTTTATAAACTTGAAACTTATTTGAGCAATTAATAGTAGTGAGAGGCCTAATACTTCCTTGAAGCAAATTCTCTCTATTATAGCAATAATGACTAGATTGGAAGTGCCTTCTAGATAATGATATCATTCTTGAAAGTAATCTATAATTACAAGAAATTCTATTTTTATTACTAATAATTAATAATAAATTAATAAAAAATAATCATAAATAATCATAATAATAGAATTTTACTTTTTTGTACTAAAGACACTCTATAATGCACGTCAAAGATTTATCAAGACATTCTTCAATGGAAGTACATGGCTTTAAGCCTTACTTAATGACTTTATTTACTAAGATTGTTGAGTAGCACATAGAACAATAAATGGTGGAATAGTGTCTTATATTATCTTTACTCATCTTATTTTAATTAACCTTCTTTGTATGAATGAAAATAAGGTATTTATTAATACTACCTATAAGAGTAACAAGTGTTGGATGTTACTCTTACATATTGTTGAACACATGGCTTTCAACAGTTCTTTTAAAGAGGCATTTGTCTTTATGGCGTTGAAAGAAGTTGGATCTTTCTAGATTGTGCTTGAATGGATCAAATAATTATTTGTTAAGGTATCTTTACCTACAGCTTTTGCCATGGATTGCAAATTGATTCTAATCAATGCAATCAAGAAAATCATTCTATATATTACCATTCTTTTATGCCTCTAATATATTGTCTAAAAAATTGTAAAAAATTAGGAGTAAAACTTTACAAATGAGCAATGGCAGCAGTTTTTGTAAGACTAGTGCTTAGTGGTATATATACTATGCAAAGAAAGATTTGAAGTGTAATAGAGCATTTTTGTAGAAACATGGACTAACAATTTTTCTAAGGCAATTATATCCATCAACAACACATAGATTGATGTACATAAGAAGATATTTCTTGTTGCTTGGACAAACAAGATTTGTCACTTTGGCAACTTTCTAACCTCAATAACAACAAAGCACATGTATTACATTATCAAGCAATATCTTAGATCAAGCAAGTTTGATTTGTTTGGTGTATGCCAATGTGCAAAGCTTTGCATTAAGAACATGCAAAAGGAATTCTTATGAACTTGTAGGTGGTCCAAAGTATATTTTTATGAAATTTTTAATGTAATGTATAAGCATTTTCTTAAATACTTCTAAGATTGTAGATAGGCATTACTTTGGACCTCTGCAATTTTTACAAATTGATCTAAATTTGTTGCACTTGTCATTTGTGGTATTCTCATAAGAAGTTTTTTTTTTAAAATCTTAGTATTATAATTCAACTAGAAAATTATTGACTTCAATTTAGAAGGATGCATTTAAACTATATAAATACTTATGTAAGTTAATGAATTACAAATAAGTTTGTTTAAAGAAGAATAGCAAGCTTGTAAGAAAGTTGCTAGGATCTCATACCATAAAGCACCTTATAATGCACAATTGCATCACCATTTTAGGCATGGCAACAAAGAATTCATTGATTGAATTAAGTTCCTCAGTTTTTTCCCTTGGCCGTTGGATTTAAGTCATAGAAAATTATTAGGACATAAATTCTTCTCTTGTGGTGATCCTTTAGAGCATTAATGAATAAGCTAAAGTCAGTGAAGAAGAATCATTTGTCAACGCAAAAGAAGGAATGTTGACACTAAGAGATAAGTGATGACATCAAAGAATGCATCATTTCTTATCAAAAAAAGAAGGATGTTGCAAGCTTAGCATGCAAATGCATTCAATGCTCTTGAGTCCAGCACCATGAAAGTTCAATAGAAACAAAGCAAAGCATTGATTCTAAATATGGTGTATGAAATGATGTTGGAAATTGGCAAACAACAATGAGTTGGACAGAGTTTAGATTCAAATTTTTCTTTGCAAGCTATGTCCTTGGAAATCCCTGCAAGGAGAATTGCTCCTTCACCTTACTTATAGATCATACAAGGCTTTGCACATTTCTTTATCTCCCCCCCCCCCTCTTTGCACTTGCGGCAAGTGTTAAAGTCCATATAACAACAATCAACCAATTAGAGACTTCTATTTTTTTTTTTTAGGTATACATACAGCAATATGGGGTGTGTATGTAACTTAGAATGTGCTTGTAGCCTAAGTCAGATTCATCATGTAAAGCTTTTAAGTATTTATCTAATCTTTGACGCTTTTATACACTTTCATTGAGCAAAAGAATGAAAATAAAAGAATCAAATAAATATTAATATGAATAAATATCATCTATTTTATAAAAATAATTTTGTGACTTAATTAAAGTTTTCTTCATTCTGTTCACACGTATCAAAACTAGCCACAATACATGTTCTCTCTATCAATCAAAAAATACAGCACATTTATGGTTCATGAGTATATAACTAAAACCAAATTTAGAATAGAGTTCTACATGATAATGAAAACAACTTCAGGAACCTCGTTGTCATGTTTGCACTATACCAGACACTTTATTGAATGGTGGAAAATATCTCTAAAGCACGGCATCTAGACCAACAAAAATTTGGAATTAGCCATTTCAGATTAATCAAGTTTTCACTACCCTCCCATTTGCAACATGGTTACCTATCATTCTTCACGGGTACTTAAGAACAATCCTTGAACTAACCTCATCTCTTCTTCTCTACTCCAATTATTGCATGAACCTGAAACCTGTTCCCGCAGCTAAATCAAACCTGATGCAACTACCTGGTTCCAATAGTCAACAAAAGAGAGCAATAACTAGACCCCGTGTTTGGATTGACGTTGTCGTGGTTTAATACCCCAACACTCGAGTGAAAATTCACAAGAGAGGAAAACATTAGTGATTTGTGAGCGAGTGCATGAATGTACGTGCCACACAAGCTACCCAAAAAGGTAATTTACAAAGGAGTAGCCAGTAGGCAAGTACTGCACTTTTCTCTCTCTGCCTACGATTGGAGTAGAAGGGGAGTCGACGCTTGGGACTTGGGCAAAATGCTGTCTGCCAGCTCTGTATTAAGCTTCACTGGCAATGGCGGCATTTGACTCATTATACCTGGCATGTTCGTCATCCTGTATCATTCCGGCCCCACCGTTCAGCACAGGTTTCCACTACATAAACACCTTGAGTGAATAAAAGAAACGAATTGCTAGTTTAATTGACAGAATTAGCTAAACAGAGCAAACATACCCGTTCAAAATTGCAAAAATGTTGTCCCTGAACCGAACCAGTAGATCCGTGTTTTCCTGCATCTGCCACACAATAACAGTAATATTCTCACTGTCAGTTTGCGAAACCAGGAAAACATTACGAGCAATCTGCACGGCTGTTATCTGTCAGGAGATTGAAAGCAACAAAAAGAAGAAAAAAAGGGACAATCACGTCTTCGAAGTCACTGACTTCAAACCATCCACATGTGCAAAGTTTCAGATACATGGAAGGGAAAGATTCCATACAGCAAAACGGGGAGTTTCAAAAAAAGAAAAAAAGAAAAAATGGGTACTGGTAAAGGTGTCTAAGTCACAAACAATGTACAATGTGATGAGAACGAATGGCAAGGTATGTATGATTTACCTTCATGGATGCAAGATTAGAGCGGATCTGAGCAATGACTTGAGCATTCTGCTCAAGAAGGACCCCTGTCTCTCCTCCAATAGCTGTAGAACATACACGCACAATGAGAACGTAGACAAAAAACTACACATTCTGAAGTGCACGACCTCCAAGTTAAACAACGACTTGAAATCGACCTACGAATACCCACATTTATCAGATCAGGACCATAGAAGATTTATGCACTGCTACTACACCCAGGTCTTAGTGAAAACAACAGGTGGAACACCCACCATGATTAGAGATCCCGTCGTCGTTGTCGATGGGAGGGGAATACATCGGCATTGGCGACCTCGAAAGAACGTTGCTGGCAGGCATTGCCTTCGATGTAGCCTCTGCTTTATCCTACCATCATGAGGGAGAAAAGAGAAACTTACTTCATTGAAGACACCTGGAAATTTGTCTCCTATAGGTGCATAATGACTACTATTCTACACCCGCCACTTGACAAATTTTCTACAGAAATAAAGAGCACGCTCAAGTTGATAAAAGAATCACTAATACATAACCTTCTCGATTACAAAACGACAGGGAAAATTACCTTTTTGTCCTTGGTCTTCTTAGTCGCGGTTTGCACCTCATCTTTTCGTCTCTTCCCATTCTCCTTCTTCTGATCATCGCAAAATGGATTCTGTAAGCTTTAATGTAGCGAGTTTTCTTAGCAAATAAATCTAATAGGACCAAAACAAAAAAACAATTCCAAATTTCAGCAGCTGAACACGTAGAGTGTGAAAGAAAGCATGCACATATCAAGTGCATATGGAAACACTTACGGTCATCCATCGCACACGGAGAGCAACGTCCCGCACAGTTTTTTCGTTGAGAAGAGCGGCTATTTTAATATACTTGACAAGATTATTCATCTGGGAGGAATGACTGCAAAATGAAGAAAAACGCTCAATTCGTTAAATGCTGTTTCCAAGAGATACACTATCAGTCTGCGTCCCCGAGAGTAAAGCTTTAATTATTACAATTGAGTTTGTCAAATGCGCAACTCATGCGTGTTCCTTCTCACCTCAACAATGCATGATGACTAAGAGATTTGGATCTTCAAGAGTAGCTGTTGATTAACCTGATATCCTACCACGGAGGCATTCGAGAGACTAAACTCAAGGCACGAACAGTTTTATATGCATCTTCAACCAATGGCTAGCCTGAGTTAAACTGACATTCAAAAATGAATTCTGAAAACGGTTAACAACCTCATCCCACCATTTGCATGAGCACGTGCTCAGACATAGACACTTGTAAATTAGACAGACACACAGAGGGACGAGGCCCGGAGAGAGGAAAGAGGGAGAGAGAGAGAATCACGCGGTTAATAAAACCAATAATATTGAAACAGACACTAGAAGACTTACACCACGTGAGGTGATCTACAAATGCACAATTACAAGAGCCTTGTCCTGAACACCGACTAGAAATAACCCTAAAGGTGGGGCCGAATGTCTGTACCGCGTCCCAATTTGCGGGAAAACCACAAACCAGCATGACCAACTTGCCACTACTAAATGTTTGAACTAGAATCCTAGAAGTTTAGCACCCAGAACCACTTGCAAAACTCTTGCAGGGCAGGAAGGCAGAAGTGGAGAACAGAGGGGCTGTCGCTTCTAGAAGAGACTGCAAGGAGAGAGTGGGTTACTTGATAAGAGCTTCTTCCAGAATTGATTGTTCTTCTGCACTCCATTCCAGGGCCAATCCTGAGTCATGTTTCAAACTCGAGTTGTCACTTCCATTCAGAGCAGCGCTTCCGTTTCCATTCGAGACTGTTCCATCCGTAGCACCTTCGGAAGAAGGAGGAGCCACAGAAGCCATGTCCATTGGAGCAGAGGATGAGTACCTTGGGTTGATAGTCGCGTTGCCAGCTGCATTCTGGTTGTTACTTTGCAACTGATCCTTGACCGCGGAATTATTGTTGGCTTTGGCTTTGGCTTGCACTTGAGCATTTGGACCGGATCCTGCCATAGATGTTTGTGCCATCAAATCTCACTACAGTGCGTTTTTTTTTGTAGAGTAAAAGAGAATATAAAGAAAGAGCGATTCCAAGAATGATGTCTCTCAGAAGTGGCGGTTGTGCGGAACCCCTGGTATTCGAGGTAACAAAACCTCTGATCCCAACAGCATGAGCAGCATTTTCACAAGCCACAACTGTGCCCTCGGGTTAATATAGATTGAAACATTCTAAAGCTCGGCAACCCCTAGTTGCATGTTCATGCTTTGCTTCTAGGAATCTCCCTCCCTCCGGTGTCACTGTCGATCTCTACCAACCAATGTTACCCTCTCCTTATCTAGTGGTCCCAAGTCTCTGTTTTTCTTTCGTTTTTTTTTTTTTTTTTTTTTTTTCCAATATTTTTCTCTCTTTTTTTCAATTTTTTTCGAGTATCGTCAAAAGTCTCTCTCTGTGCTCTTGGTGGTAATTGCTCGAAACTCCAGAAATTCACCACGTGCTTCTTGGATGCACCACTGCAAAGAGTCTCAAAACTCTTCAATCAAGTCAATCCACCGGAATTTAACAAAAACAGCCGGAAAGAGACCCTACTGAAGATAATCTAACAAGGGTGCTCTCTAGCCAAAACGGTACAACCAAACCTCTCAACCTCTCACGTCCACAACTGCAACTCGTCGAACGAGAAAATCAATGAAGAGAAACTCTAGCCACCGGCCTAACCAAGCACAGAGATCTTCACCCTCCACTATTGCCTGCAACTCTCCCCCCTTCTATCCCCGACTCTAGCCAATTCTACACGTGATTCCTGCCCGATATCTACCACAACACATCAACACCTCCACTATCCTTCACCCTAAGGACCTCACACCGTAATCCAACTATCAAACCTGCAAACCTTGTCTACCTGGCGTCTTTCCAATCTGAAGAGCCTCGTATCACTCACCCCTCCCTTGCGACGAAACGCAGAATCGAGACCTACGGAATTTCAAGGAGATGACGTGAAAACGCTGCGCTAGAGGGAGGAGGATGGAGGAAAGGCCGAAATGAATCGCCAGACTCCCGCCTGTGTAGTCTATCACGAAGAAGACGGAGGAAGAAGAAGAGGAAGAAGAAGAAGACGAAGGCTACGAAGAAGGAGAAGAAGAACACCAACGACAACAATGACATTAACAACTCCAACTCCAACAACAACAACGACGACGACGAGGCGCAGCAACAGTGAAAAGTTCGCGATGGAGGAGGCAAGAGTGCACTCTCTGCTGCTGCGTCGTCGAGGAGCCTCGTCCTCGTCAAAACCGGACGCGACGAACGAGACCCGTCGTCGACAAACGCTGACGGACGACATAGACGAATTACGGCGGATTCCGGCGAGATTCGCCTCCCACGGGCGACGAGGCGGGCCGTGCGGGAGGGGGACTGGTATGGCACGGCTACCGTAGATCTAAGCCAGATCGGACAGCTATTAGCTTCGAAAATCTCGCTGTCATTGTGGCCGTCCGATCTTTCGGGCTGCCCGACCAGCGCCCAGAACCCCCCCCCTTCTATTAATATTATTATTGTTATTCTTATTATTATTCTTTGTGTTTTCTTTACTTTGTTATATTTTTAACTAGGTTAAAGCTGACCCTTGACCTTTGTTGAGAGTCCAGTGGAAATATATATATATATATATATATATACATGTGTGTGTGTGTAGCATGTCTTTCAGGATGTTTACATTTGCATGAATGTATGTATGTGCACACCCCCTCCTCTAGACTGGTCCATGAAATTTATTAGTGTGGACAATTATAAACTAGTATAGAAATTATTCATTCCTGTGTGCAAGTATTTATTTCTCTTTTGCAGCATTTTCATGGATGAAAAAGATTTGAAGAAGCGAACTTGTAGGAAGAAATGAAGCTGTTTGCACCAATGAACTCAGAAGCTTTGTTGAATGCATTACATTAAACATTAACTTTTATTATGGTATATGGTATTGTGTATTGTAAATAAATAAATATTGAAAGTAACCATGTTCATTTTTTTATTGATAAATGTATATATATATATATATATATATATATATGTGTGTGTGTGTGTGTGTGTGTATGTAGAGACATACTAGAATTTATGAAATGTTGCAAATCATCCACCAACAAAGTACTTCTATCAACTTATTTTAGATGCTTTAATGTTTATAGATGAAAAATTGAAAGAAAGAAGAAGTGACTTTGAAATGTTTCAAAATTCCTCATTTGTAAACAATCGCAAAACATTTATGAATCACTGAGCAAGAATTGTCAATATGAACACTTAGTTATTTTCAAATTCTACACATTTATAAGAGACTATTTTCTTTAATTTTTTTCATTTATAATAGAAAGATAAGTTTTATTCTTTTTTAAAATAATCACACAAAAGACACAGATTCCTTAATAAAATCTCACAAAAATTTAGACCCACAATACATTCGAATTCTTAATTGTATTATAATTTTTTTATTACAGAAAATTTTTGAATAATACTAATAAATACTAATAATCTTTGTATACGTAAAATGACAGTCGTATATTTTTGACAAGCCTTCGAATAATGTTCATAGGACTAGCTCATTTGTAATATAGTTTGTCCAGAGTAAAGTTGCATAAGAGAATTTACAAATGATGGAAAGGAATGTTCGACAAATAAATGTAGTAATTATATTTAAGCATTAAATTTCATGTTATATTTAAAATTTAAAGATAAGTTTATTACAAATAACGTTGTGAGTATTAGTGAAAACGTCTGAAATCGATAGTGGTCCAGAGAAGGTAAATGAACCAATATAAGAGATCCTTCTTTAATATTTGATTCTTCATAAGACTGATATTCAATGACATTGTTGTTTCAATTCAAAAAGAAAACACAAATTTGATTTGTTTCTCCCAGCTGCTATTTATTGGACAAGTATAGAATAAGAAATGACAAACTTTGTAACATTTTGAAAACCACAATATTCTTTGAATTAATTTCCATGATCTTAATTATCACATTTTATTATTATCAGTATTGTTATTTTGATGCCTTTAAAACCATTGCATATCATCCCATAGAAATGTTCTTTCCAAATCTTTGAGACACAATGCAATTTTAGTGGTGTTTGATTACTTAAGAAAGATAGAATATCTGGTACCGTTCTAAAAACGTACTGCAAATTATTCATTTGCAAACTTGTTTTTCGATATTTATTAGCTTCAAAATTCGATAAACATTACAACTTTTTACCACAATCAGTTTGGTAATGTTTTATTTAAATCAAGGCATTTATCTTCTATTAGATTGTGTCTAGCTCTTCACTTTCTCTTTTTCTATTTTCTTTTCTATCATTTTAATGTGTTTTAAATCCTTCATTTTCATCTAAAACATTTAAAAGAAGAAATCCAACTTTTGAATCTTTTCATTGAAAATACTTCTTGTAGTAAAAAACTTTACATGAGAAACAATTTCAAACATTTAAAAACATAAACGCCACAATTCACAATGATACAGCTTAACTTTGTTTTTGCCTCTAATTTTAATCACGCATTTGAAAAACACTACAATTATTATTTACTGATGTTATTTAATCAATAAATAAATCATACACATCTTTTATAGAGAGAACAAAAAGAAGTTACTTTTCTTAGTACACAGTACTGAACTGATAACTAAATATATATTCATATCACGTTCCAGACATTTATAATATAAAAAAATGAAGTGCTTACAAGGTAATAATACTTATTTCTCAACTATATTATCAAATACACATTTCAATATGAAAGATGCAAATAAACAAATAAGCAAAACTACTTATGATTGATGTAGGATACAATATACCATGGCTACTTATAGTATAGGTTATTGAATAATATAGCTATTGAGTTCTAAGATTAAACAAATTAAACCATTTGTTTGATTAGGACTGTATTAGAATAAATAAGAAGAAATCAATGGGAAAGATAACTAGGAGTAATTTCAAGACTTTAAAAATTGACAAAGATGTATATATATATATATATATATATATAGAGAGAGAGAGAGAGAGAGAGAGAGAGAGGTTTATTTAATTAATTAGGCATAAAAAAAATTCATGTGTCAAATTATATTGAACTTATGCTTATACTTCACATCAAGACCTTGTCAACTTACCTTACAATAAATCATGTTTCTACAAAAACATAAGTGATTATGTCAACTTTTAGTCTAGGCAACAATGTATACCATTGAATTTTGATTGGTACTAATAATATACAACTTTCACTTATTTATTTGATACCTTTTTCTCTTTCCTTTTTTTATTTTATATTTTTATTTTTAATACCATGGTTACATTACAAGTGTATTCAATCCAATTTTATATAACTAGATATTCTTAAACATTAGTGAGTAACTGTTTTTGCTATATTAAAATTTCATTTTAATTCTCTAAAACTGCATTTGTTGAAGTATGTTTGAACTACATTATGTATTAAAGCTGTTTTTCTTTCTAATTACTACTTTTTAGTATTCTCATGGATAACAGTTTAAATAATTTTTATTTTAGTTAAACTGAAAATTTTACAATATGTACTACAAAAACACAGATTAGTATTGAATAGAATTTGAATTGTTTGTGTGTGTTTATATTTATATATATATATATATATATATATACAAAAAAAAATTGGAAATATTTTCTTTTGATCTTTGTGTGTTTATATGTATATATATATATATATATATATATATTATTATTTATAGTGTATTTATGTGTGTTGAGAACCAGATAATGTATACACTAGACAAATCATAATCTACAAGGTTGGCATTAATAATTGTCTCATTAAAGAAAAACATAAGTCATTATCATAATAATGTGAAACAAGTATCTAAATATATATGTGTATCCTAAATTCATTATTTTCTTTCTGACATTTGAATTAAAAAAAATCTGATTGAAAAACTCTTAATGGCTGATACAAGTTAAGGTATCTTTATTTTTTTTGAAATAATGTAAACTAAAAAGACTTCAAAACAGAAGATAAGCAATAATATTTTGAAATTTATTGGTATTTTTGACAAATTTACATTTCATTAATAAATTCGAAAAAGTTTGTTTCTTAATAAATTGTCAAAATTTCACTTTTATGGTCTCTAATTCATGATGTTAATAAAATTTTGTTCCACCCACTAGCCACACTCCATATCAAGCAAGAAATTTATAAATTTATTTTTGGAAATTAAAATTATTATTATTAGAATATATATATATATATATATATATTGGATATTACTAATGCTATCACAATTTTTGTTATAGTGACCATAGTTTATTCACATTAATTTTTATTTAAATTATTATATAATTAATAAATAAGAAAATTAATTAGAAATATGTAATAATATATTATAATTATATATAAATAAATAGATAAAAACATATTGAATAGGTGGTGGATTGTAGTAGAAGTGTGAAAAATTGTAGTGATATTAGCAATATCCTATCTAATTTAAAAAACAATTTGAGTATACCACCGATAAGCCTTGTGATTAGCCATGAAGAAGGGAATAGGAGGAACTTGGGAAAAGTCGGAACAAACATGGGAATATAGGAACATGGAAACATTGAATGGATGGATATGCAAGGAATTGCAGTGCCTACTGGCAAGAGTTTTTGCTAGTATGAATAAATATGATTCATTATTGAAACAATTATAATTTTTTTAATTTATAAAAACTAATATATTTCTAAAATTAAATTCATTATTAAAATATTTTAAGTTATATATCAAAAATCACATAGACACACATACATATATACATACACATTTATTTATTCTATTTTCAAAAGAAGATATGTAAATAACTACAACAAAAATTATAACAAAAATATAAAAATAGATAGATTTGTTTTCTCAAAATATATAATTTTTTATTTTTTAAAATTTACATGATAAATATTGTAGTATTATAATATAGCTATTGGAGGAAAAAGAGAAGAAAGCATTATATTATAGAAGAGCTTAATTAAAAATATAGATTTTTTATTTTATTTTTTAAGAATCATATATAATAATTAATAATGTAATAAAACCAATAAGTAATAATAATGTCTATTTGTAAAAATCACTTTTACTTCCTTTTTAGTGCAATAAATAAGGCAAAATATAATAGCAAAAGTAACAAAAATAATATTATAGGCATCTTTAGATAAAAGTAAAGAGTTAAAATTAACAAAATTTAGTGGATAAATCTTATATTCATATATATATATATATATATATATATAGATACGGCCTTCTATAAACCAAAGCCAAATCTAAATTTTAAAATAAAAAATTACACCTCAACAAAAATTATATATATATATATATATATATTATTTTATTAATTGGAATGTGAATTTAAAGAAGATTTGATAGGATTTCTATGAACATTGGTTTTGAGGGATTAGAGTGCATATTGACTTTGTGAGAGCTTTGCAATTTTAGAAATAATATATATATATATATATATATATATATATATTGATAAATAGAGTGAGGATTAAAATAATAAAAATTATAGTATCGATTCTTTGAAGAGCAAGACACCAAATTAATATAAGAGACTTGTCTTGACACTAAAATTGCAATAAATGTTACATTTTGTACTACATAATTTTGATCTATTTTTTTCAAAACTCTCAACCTATATTTTCTAATTTTTTTATTAGTATGTGTATGTTGTATTTAATAGGATTAGAACTTGCAATAATTAACATATACATATATATATATATATATACATGATTCAAAACTTGTATTGATTAAAAAAAAATTCAGGCTTTTGAACTAAGCCGAAGGTTAACACTTCAAAATCTTGTGAGATATTGTTATATATATATATATTCTTAGAATTAATATCTATTTTAGTTTTTAAATTTCTCCTTAAGTACCTTGTATTGATTTCCTTGCTATTTAACACTGCAATCATGTGATACTATAATCAATTAAAAAGAATTTAAAAATTATGAAAAATGGAATTTCAATTATAACTGTTTTGTGTGTAAAGGTACAAAGAAACTCATTCAATAACAGCAACACTTTAAAAAGTATTTTTTTATGTTATTGTGATACAGTGGACAGAGTTTAAAGTAAGTGTATTTGTATATTGGATTTTGAGAACTGAAAAATGCATTTAATTATTTTTGTATGATTTTTAGAAAATTGTAATGGAAATTAATAATAAAATTATAAGAATTTAAGGACCTAACTTAACTTGTAAGTAACTTAAAATTTTACCTGCATTATTATAATTTTTTTGATTTTTCAAGAAATTTTATAGTAATTCAATTGCTCTTGAATTTCTTTTATAAAAAACTTTCAATCAAAGAGCAGTTTTATGTGCACAAGTAAGAAATTAGAGTGAATGGTGTATTCACATTGCACATGCAATTTTAGGATCAAACTCAAAAGTCACAGAGCTCTTGATCACAATGGAACACTATTGAGCTTCAAACAGTGACAAAGTTATTTTGAAACCCACAAATCCAACAGAAACCTGATTATTTGAATATGTTTATCAACTGTAACTAAAATCATAGAAACTTGTTTATGTAGCTGTACCTGACATCATGTATGATTTTGTGTATTTCAGGAATCAAAACTTTATACATGTAAAGAAGAAATGAGAAAAACAGCAACAAATTTGGCTTTGCAAATGATAGTTTGGGTGGTTTGAAAGAATGTCCATAATCAGTCACTATTTTTATATTAATTTAGTTGGCTCTTCATGCATCATGTAATTGCATCAAGAATAAAGCATTTACTTTTAATTTCAATTTTTTTCTATTCTCCGTGTCTAAGCACAAAGTATCTCTCCTTTAGCAACAACACATAAACATATTTCATATTGTGAATGGGTAAATCCATGCATAAAAACAAACAATACAATTTTAGGGTATAAAACTATCCTTTGATAATGAGCCAACTCCTCCCACAAGGCTTAGACACAAAGTGTCACTTGGTCAATGGGCCGTGCACATCAAAGAATCCTTCCTTAGAAGATGGGATTTGCTTTGTAGAATTTTCAACATTATTTGATGATGCTTGAAATGGAGGTTGGAGTATTGCAAGGCTCACTCACAAAGTAGGAGCCACCCTAAAATAAATAAAATAAATAAATGAAAACTCTAGTTCCATGGTCTAAATCTTAAAAATGGAATAAAATAATAATAAATCATGTAATATACAAAACTCGTACAGCTCTCCTTCCCAGAATCACTGAATACATATCACCTATATATGCAATGAAAATCAGTTTGGTGGTTTTGCTTTAAAGTTTGAAGTGAAAGCATAGATTGGAGCTCGTTCGAAACATACATTTCCACAACGGCAACACGTGAGGGTGAAGGGAGCGCATAGGAACGGGGTTGTTCCCGAGGGAGGGAACGGGGAGGGAGCATCCCAGAACCAGAAGCCCACCCAGAGGGGCTGAGAGACTGGAAGTGAGTGAGCGAGTGAGAGTGAGTGAGTGAGACTGGAGTGAGTGAGACTGAGACCCAGTAAGTAAGTAAGTGAGTGTGCGAGTGCGTGAGTGAGTGCAACAGCACTCACTTACTTACTTATTTTACTTGGATTTCTCATTCATCCACATACTCATCCATCCATATATCTATCCATCCATATATCTATCCATCCATTCTTTCATTCAGTCATAGTTGGACGCAGAGAAATGAACAGAACGACGGTGTTCTTTTCGCCCTTCTCCAGGAATTGGGATTGACTACTCGTGGGGGTCAAAGAGAGGGGGCAACATTTATGCACATAATTAAATGCTCGGTCATTCATCAATCTATCCTTCCTACCTTCATTCCTAGTCTATTAGTAGGTGTAGCTGTGTGTGTGTGAGTGTGAGGGAGTGAGCGTGCTATATTTGCCTTGAGAGAATCTTATTCAATCATTTGGTTGTAGCCAAGAAGCCTTCCTGCACAGGCACTGTAGCCAACTTGGAGAGGGGTCTGGCCCCTCCCCACACCCCACACCCAAGGCTGGCTGGCTTGGGAACCGTTCCCATGTTCTCCACTCAGTAGTCTGATGGTTGCCCCTGGCCCCCTTGCTTGGGTGCGTGTGGTGGTGGTGTGCCCCTTGGACGTTCCCCTGCACAGGAACGAATCAATGACCTGGTTCCCCTACAAGGTGCTAGCCTGGGAACAACATGCGGGAGAACAACTTCTCATAATGCTTCTGATTCCAACCCCAGGCGTGCTTGAAACAGTGATACTCATTCCCATGGATTCTGCCCAGAATCGTCTTATGAAGCAGCCTGGCTTATAAGCCTGACAAGCTTGCTTTGCTTTGCTTGCCTCACGAGTGATGCCCAAAGGAATGTGGTTCAATCACCCCTCCCACCCCACGTCACCATCGTTGCTTTTCCTTTCTCTTCTTAAATGGGTTTCCTTTATTTTTGGCTTCCTGGTTTCTTTCTGGTGTACTAATGTTATGTTTCTTAAATTGCATCGTCTTGGATCAAATCTTACATTAAAGGCGTTATTCCGATCTGGGTCGAGGAAGTGAATAATTCAGCTCAAGATGGATAACTCTAAACCAGACAAAATGGGGGGAGGAAAGAAGAGAAAAGAAAGAAAAAGGGCTCTTGAGAGAAAAGTGAACTTTATTGCGAAAGATGAAGGAGAGAAGGAAGAGCCTGTGTTGTTGTTGTTGTTGTTGTTGTTGTTTTTACAATAATAGAAACCCACATTGAAGAAGGGAGGAGGTTATTGCTAGGAATAAACCCAATGTCTAGTTCTATCAATATCGTGTTCCGATGGAAGATGTCCAAGTGTAATCACCTACAAAGAGCCATGCCACAACCAACATGGGGTAGTGGGGAGCTCTTTGTGGTAGTCCAGGGCCATAGAAGGTGCTAATTCTTTACTTTTATTTTATTTATTTGTTTATTATTGTTTTGTGCTTACTCTTCTTCTCATGTGGGTAAAATTAATTTTGTATCATTGGATTTGATGTTGTTGGATACCCACCATCCTTTCACTTCTCGAAAATGGAAAGTTCATCGCTAAACCTAAAAGAACACACGTGTCAAAAGCCGCCACGGCCACGTCGGAAATCGAATTTTTGAACCCCGTTTTAGGGTTTCGTCCCAGGAAGGTGGTTGTGTTGTTGTCTTCTTCGTGATCTGAATTTTAGGGTTTTAAATGCGGTGACTGCCGTTGTCCTTCCGTGTGCCTTTGACTGGCAGAATCAGCAGCGGGTTGGCGCTGGGCTCGTGGCGTGGATCTCTGTTTCTCTGTCGCTGCGGACGTGACAGAAACTCACAGCCTTTTCACAGCCTTTTTGTGAGTTTACAGTGGGAGGGCAGTGGACAAAGACTGAGGTGAGAGCAAGCGAACTGCAGTACAGGGCTTAGGATCTCTAATCCGGTCTGGCAGTGCGCGATTGTTCGTTTCTCGATCGGGCGCTGCAATGGCTGACAACATGATTGCTTCTGCGTGTTCACTGAGTCTGTATCACCCTTGCTGCAAAATTGCAATGCTATGGCAGCATATTTCATGTTTTTTTACACGTTGGTTGTTCAGTTCCGGTGGATTGCATGAGAGTAGAATCTATGGGATCTCACGTGTGAAAATCCACGTCGGGGGTCCTGGCTCAGAGGCTGGGCGAAAAGACTTCCAGTGATGCAAGAGAGTTGATTTTTTTGGACCGGTGCGGTGTATTTTTGAGCAACTGACTGGCCACGTATGTTGTGAATCGGATTTCTTCCTACCTCTTCATTTTCCCTGCCTCCAGGAATGGGTTCATCCAAAGTGGGTTTTGATCCGGATTGTAATTTGTACTTGTGAAGGAAATCAAACGGCAGATGATACGCAAACCAATTATGTTGAAGGTGATGCGTTTTAGAAAGTTTGCCTGGCAATGTTGTCATTGTGGGAGCAGGCTGGTTGGACTAGGACAGCTTTGACACTGTGCAGCCTTACAAGCTTACCATGTCAGATCACATTAACCCAACAGCATCAGAGCCATATCATAGCAGCAGATTCTTCAAGTCTGCTGCAAAGCTGGTGTTTCCTAACTCACTTATTGAGAGGGTTCATTTCATGATTTTAGCCACTGAATGACAACGTATGTGTGTGTGTGTGTGCATGAGTTTTGTCTGCAAGGTTGGCAGAGCATGATGTTTGGAAGCAAACTAAAAATTTGCTCTAGTGACGTAGTTAAATATCTTCTTCAGGTGTTTTACGTCAGGTCAACCGAGGAGGGTATCAGTCGGTTTTTCTTTTTGAAGAGGATCATGAAAAAAAGAAAAAAAAGAAAAAAAAATGCTGACAGTGCCGACTTCAAGATAAATGATAAAAGCAAATAAGAAAAAAAAAAGAAAAAAAAGAAAAAAATCTGTCTCATGACTTTTCGCATTCGCAACTTTCAGAAAGACCTCGAGTAGAGACGGACTCTGGTGATGATGGCGGATGCCGAAATGCTGATTTGACACACTCGTACACGCTCAGTCGAAGTCGCAGGCAAAAACCCATAAAACAGCTTGAAAGGCCAAGTTCCGCCTCTGTCAGTGCCATCTCTGTCAAATCCGTAAGAGCTCCTTGACGCCCCTCGTGAGAACTTCGTTACTTTCTCGAAGAGCTGCCCAAGCTTCCTTTGTACATCAGGAAACATCGCTTTGCATCCTTTGCATTCACCTACTTCACCTGCGACCATCCACATCAGTGAAGACCTGCTGTTTCTATTTCAAAATCGCACTTCGCCATTGCTGCACAGACATTTGGATTTGGCTTCCACAGGACCCAAGGGCAGATGGAAAGAAGCAAAACCGGGTTCCTACATTAACTTCAATTTTGGATCCATCACCTGCAGACCTCACTGTTGCACACAACATAAGGACTAAATTCGTCTCGATGGGAAAGAACCGAAGTACGCTACAAGCAGAAGTAATCAAGAAGCATTCTGATATTTGCTTCCGAGCAGGTCGCCAGTAAGTTCTAGGAGGTGCATGTGTGAAGTGTAGAGAAAGATGTGGATACGTTGTTCAGAGTTCGGCAGTGACGCTGGCTTTTAAGAACAAACAACATCGAATGGTCTCGGGGATCACAACACATTGCCAAGCGTGTTTTAATTTTAATTAATTTTATTTTATCAAGAGGCTCCCGATCGGCAATCAATCGGCCGATATTTCATCGGTAAAATTTCAATTCATTTATCATCTCCACTAAATGAACAAGATGTTTCGCAGAATGATGAATTCTCACAGTGAACAAACGCATTCCAGTACCACGGACTGTAAGAAAATCTCGATTCACCCATTCTTAGGAACACGACAATAATTTCGTTTCGACCAACACAATGCTCTCGCGAAAAAAAGGCTTACAAACTCACTCCACTCACGCTTTCAGGTGATCTACATCTCTTTGTTCCCTCCTGTGTCTGCATTGTTCTGCTTCCGTTGACGCAAAACGGCAAGTTACTCTTCCTCAATCACAAACATGACGCAGAGAATTCCGTCATCAGAGTATTGATTAGAAGAGCTCACGAAGTCTTCATGACATCCCCGCTACAAAGATATCTAAGCAGCCGCAGACCGGCCTTTGCACCACCCTCAAACTAAAAAATTGCAACCACAAAGAAAAGAAGAAAGGCAAACAACACCGAGCGGGAAACAGCAAACCCCACTTTCTTGCACCAGAACTTTTTCCCCCTTGCATCCAGGCTCTATTTCGATGTGGCCCCTGGAAGAGTGGCCCTTGTTTCGATACATTTCCTTGACAGTTCCTCCGGAGTCTATAAATGTGCAGGCATGTGAAGGTGGAATCAAAGTGTGTGATCTAACACACATTTTTTAATACCGGTAGCAGCAAGTTGCTGATGGGTACTGCTGGAATCATCCACATCTCGTTGCAATCATGTTCCGATGTCCCTCTCTTTTAAGGCAGCTTGTTGTTATCATCGATACCCATAAGCGGTGATTGTAGAAGAGTGGCCGACTTTGTAACATGTGGTAAATTTTTCTCTCAACTGCCTTTACAGCTCGATGGGTTAACTGTCTAGAGCTGCGATTTCATCTGAAGTGAAGGATACTTCCAATGGCTGAAGTAGTGTGTGTGATGATGGGGATTCTGAAAGAAGGAAGAGCACACTGTATTAGGTCTGCATTGTGCCTTTCAGCACGCAGTTTTCTGTGCAAGCCGGGCGATGAGTGATGCCGAGGTATGCGGCACTGATCCTCTTTCTCTCTCGTCTTTTCAGATTGATGCAATGGATCGGTGGTTCTCGCTTTGCGTTTTGCAGCGAGGGCCGAGCACGCCACAAATCTTATTGATCAAGAAACAAATGCTTGTATAACCATTCAGTTCTGTTACTTCATGATTCCCTGGTACTTTATCCATTTTATGCACATCGCCGTAATTACGAAATAACTCGGTGAGATTATACCCATCATTCGGGGAATAAATCGAATGATTCGGGGAGGGCCTACTTTAGGCATGTCAAGGAAGTTGAATCTTTTCACCGACTTTGTCCAAGGAAGGACTGCATGTTTGGCCAGTTCTCTGTCCCTCATCCTGCTTTTCTTAACTCAGTTTGCTTGTGTACATGCACGAGAGCAGAAAAATTGAACGCTATCGAGTTTTATGTGTAGGCACAAAACAGTTGAGCGCTGATATTCCAAACCGTCTTGATGACGTGAGTTGTATACTGCTTGTGAGATGTTCATCGGGCATTTTTGCGGAGCCCGCAACTCGAAGGATGGAGCGCGCCTGCTTCTGGAAAAGGACATCTTATATTTGACCGTAACCTGACACTAATTCGTTTTTTGATCTCTTCTTGTTATGCGTTATGCATAGCCAAATGTAGCAGGGACGACCGCTTTATTTCTATGGAAAAGCTACTGTACTCTATTTTGAATTCGTCAAAGTTCTGTTTACTTGTCAGAGTGAAGGGTTGCCATCCTTAGTCAAAAGAAACGGAATCGTTCGATGTGGAATTTTCTTATGAGCCTGTCTTTTTGCCGCCGTGGTTGCAAAAGTTTCCTGAGATGGTCTTGTTCCTGGTGACGCTTTAATTGCGCTTACGTTGTTTGCTTCAAGTTCGAGTACCTTCGAAAATATGTCGGAATTGCAGGCAGTTCTTTGCATCTCGTCGGTTTGAAGAATTCTGCTGTTCGAAATTGTCTTCTTTGATTCAATTCCCGCTTCATAGAACTTTCGCAATATGGAAGAAAAGAGAGAGTAAGGAACAAATTCAATTATCTACAACTCTGACAAGCATGCAAGCTAGCTTCGCTGATAAGAACGCGGGGCAAATCTTCATGCTGCCGGCCATTCATCCTGAAGGATGCAACGTGTGCCAAACGAACACAGAGACCGTGGGCGGAACAGGACGCCATATAAGCAGATGCAACGAGAGCCAAATCTCGCTCAGCACCGTGTGACGACAGACCTTTTTCTGCGCATTGACTTGGAGCAGGGGAGGAAAACCTGGACCCAGCTCCAAGTCAAAGAGAATTTCTCGCTATCAACATTTCGCAACGTGTTTCGAGTGTGATTGCGTTGTCGCAGCCATTCAATACGGAATAGGTGTCTACGATGTGCCCTAATTCGTGGTTTAGCTCTCTTTGACCATTGTTTAGCAGGCTGCCATGTACCTCACTCGCGAATCCTTTTTTTTTTTTTTTCTTTTTGTTGACTATCCCCCAAGTGCAAGTCCTGTTTCTACCGAACTATGACTGACCTTCTTATGTGCAAGACATCTCGAGGTTTTGACTTTCTGAACAGGTTTCACCCTTTCTTTCAAAAATCCGAGGCGCGTAAAACACAACGCTACGCAATGTGGTCATTCGCTGAAGTTCGTGAGCTGCCAATTTCGCTTGTCACTGGTAGGTTCTGATAGTTCCTGTGCTGTACACACTGTCCCTCGTTTTGGTAGTTTTACCAGTTTTTGACCTAGGAGTAGAGTTCAGATGGCTTTGTATTGGTCTAGAAGAGACCCAATTGTGCATACCAAGCTCATGATGCTGGGTTTGTTTAGCAGCAAGAGCGTATTCAGACCGCCTGCACACACTTCTTGAAAACTTTGGGGTCAATGGTTTCACTCTTCTGCCAGTACTCATTCCTCACCATTTCGCAAACCAGAAGAAGATGTCAAGTCAGTCCGTCGGGTATGAATCACGAACTCGCGATCATCTACAGATCTGCAAATCTTTCACTGACCGGCATCTGAGAGCCATGTCACATCGCTGTGCGCTGTTCCCAAAGTCGTTTTTTGCAACAAAGTCGCCTCCACCGTTTTACTCCGCTGTGGGACCAGCGGTCACGCAAGCTGGGGCCCATGCTTTTCCCCATCCACAGCGATCATCCGCCGATGTGCTCTACTTTGGTCCAATTCGGGAACCCATTCGATAGGTTCAATCAAGAGGATCTTACCACCGAGCACCGAATCGTATCAGACCACAGTCTCGTGGTGCTGTAATGATTCTGTTGACACTGTAGATGCTGGATACGCATTTGTCAACTGTATTTGTGATGTATTTCGTAACCGTCAATATGTACAGGACGGATGGGTTAAACTTAGCGCATAAAGGAGGAGCAAAGTCTGCATCACAATTTGGAGTCTTGGATTTCGCAAATGGAGTCTGATCCGTCCTGGTCGCTGTTCCAGGTTTTCATGATATGTGCACAAGGCAGAAGTGGAAGCTGAAAACGTATCTAATATTCTACACTCTTGTTTGAGGACGTTGGGTGTTCGGGGAGGGGAGGGGTGAGGGGAGTCCAACTTTCGCCACAAGGGGAGTGCCAGCTGCTGATCAGAGGTTGCTGCTGATTACAGACATGCACATCTGCAAGGCTTAAAAAAAAAACACAGCATTCATCACCGAGGTAGTACTCTTAATGGAAGTCATGGAAGTCCCTCGCTACGGCTGATCGAAGTGTGCTTGTGGGGGTTCATGCGAAGGTGGTGAAGGTGGAGCCTGCCGAGAGGTTGATGGAACATGTTGCGACGAAGCTTGCAAAACCTGAAGGTGCCATCGAGGACCAGACTTGTCGGGTATTCGTTCACTCGTCCATTCACATGTGTGTTTTGAATCTCTCTTTCAAGCTCATCGCTGCCCATCTGGTTGCTAGAGCCGCGAGTGAGCCCAAATCGTTTAGAATGTATATGCTGGCAGAAACCCCAAAAGAGAATTAGAATGCAAAAGCATACGTCATCTGGCTACTGTGGCTTGTGCCCAAGCTGTAACAATGGTTGTCATAGAAGCTGGCTGCACGGGGGATCACAAGGAGGATGAAGAGGATCGGACCGTGGTTTCCACCAGCGCCTCCAGAAATAGGAGACGGCGGGTCGAGAATTGGACCTACATTCCTCGCCTTCCCGATGACATCGCGATGGAAGTATTGTGTCGTCTGCCCCCTCGCTCCCACGCCCTTCTGCAGGGTGTTTGCCGGAAGTGGAAGGACGTCGTGAACAGTACGTTGCTCTATGAGCAGCGCAAGGAGAGAGGCACAACTGTCCACTTTCTGTGCTTGCTGCAAGCTGCTTCTCAGGTAGATTTGAAGCAACACCCCGTGTACAATGTCAGCTTGCTCCAACTGGGACAGCGCAGCGATTGGGAGAGGCTCCCTCCAATCCCTGAGTATCGTGATTTAGGGCTTCCTCTCTTCTGTAAGTTCGCAGCCGTGAAAGGGAGGCTCGTCGTAGTTGGAGGGTGGAACCCTGCCACTTGGGAGACGCTTCGGTCGGTCTGTGTGTTTAATTTCAGCACCTGGACATGGCGGCGAGCGTCCGACATGCTCAGCACGAGATCCTTCTTCGCCTGTGCATCAGTCGATGATTTCGTTTTCGTGGCCGGAGGTCACGACAACACGAAACGTGTACTTCCTTCCGCCGAGAGATACAACATCCAGAGTGATTCCTGGGAGGTTCTACCGCGGATGCACGAATATCGAGACGAATGCATGGAAGCTGTGATGGGCGGGAAGTTTTACGCTATCAGTGGATACCCCAGATTGATGCACTGCCAGCACGTCACGAGTGCTGAGGTTTACGACCCTCTCAAGCGGTCGTGGTCGCGGATCGAGAACCTGTTGAATGTCGGCCCATGTGTTGTTGTAAGCGCCGCCGAACGCCTCTACGCAGTGCGCGATCAGGAGCTCCTCTCGTATCGTTCCAATGACAATACTTGGAGGTTATTAGACAAGTTGCCTGAGGGCGATGAGGGCATCTCCGCAGCATTGTGCATGACATCTTTCGGCTCGAGCCTTGTGTTGACAGGAGCCACGCATGACGACGAAGAGAAGTGCAAAACGTTCCTGTACCGATTACCCATTGAGACGGTGTCGAAGGGCGGTTCCGTGTGCAACAAGGGCATCTGGGAAGCACTTACCGTCAACGCTCGATTCCTCGGAATCACCCAGGCGTCTTGCGTCGTCGAAGTTTAGTCCGAAAACGTCACGACCCGCTCGGCGCACTCGATAGCGATCCAAAGCTAGGTTGACGAATTTTGGAATCCTTACGCCACCCAGTCTGGGTCATCCCTGGGGAGATAATTTCCTCCCGAAGCTTGATAACTTCACCAACCACCGACGCAAACGAAGAACACACAGCCACTGATAAGCGAAGCATCCGTAACTGACTGTGCACACAAAGACGACGAGAAACCCACAGCACTGTCCCTCAGAGCTTCGTACCCTCAAAACACGCACATCACTCTCTCGATTCACAACCGGTGCATCAAAGTGTGTCGTCGCGATAAAATCGAAAACGCCGACAGCACGCGGTCAATTCATCGTCGTGGACTGGTGGCGTGCGATGAGGGCCCCCCAACTGGTGCCGCTCCTCCTGGCCTCAAAATTTCTTCCTTCCTTCCTTTCTTTCTTAATATTAATTCGAATCCTTCGTAGGGTTTACCTCTTTTGCGTTGCTAGTAATTTTAGAAATAAAACAAGGTGTTGCATGATGATTTTAAGGCTTTGATTTAGGATAAGAAATGCAAATCTTCCTGTGCCAAGATTTTTTCCAACGGTAATTTTTTTTTAAATATGTTTATTTATTTACTTTCCTTCTTTCTAACTTTTGAAAATTTTAGAAAATACAGGAGGTCTATTAGAGGATTTTTTAAAATGTGTTTTTTGCAGAGCATTGTGCGAATAAATATAAAAATAAATATATATATTTTTTTCTCACAAAATGCAAATGAATTCTAAATGTTATATTCTACAGTGTCTATGTTTCCTATTTGGAGGTCTTGGAATTCAATCAGTTATATATTGTTTTGAAGTATGCACTAACTACAAGGGATTATAGTACTTCAATATCACATGTTTGGGATATATTATCACTAAATATTACTTGTTGTATGTAGAAAAAAAAGACCAAGACTCTTATTGTAGCCAATTTATTACTTAATTGATATCAAAGGTTTATATCCTACTTTGTACTCTTTGAGCTAATTGGAATTATTTTAGAAGAATTAAAAATAGTTTAGTTTTTTTAATACATTACAAAGTAAACTTTTTAATGATCACACTCTTTCATTGCTCTGTTTTTTCTTATACAAAATTAGGAAAAAAAGAATTGATTTGTTTTTGGCTTTGATTTTATCTCATGACATTTTATATTTTATTTATAATTTAGAAAAAAAGACTTTATATTGCCAAGTAATTTAATCTAATATATGATTTTCAAATAAAGTTACACCGTTTTTGGCATTTTATTCCTCTATATTACATAAACTATACCAGTAGAAGTCCAAATTTAACATTTGAATTTAAAATAAATAAATAGAGATATAGTAGTAGTTTAAGAGCTTTGCAATTTAATGACTTTACACATAAGAAGAAATACATGGTAATGTGTATTCCTATTTATTAGATATTGGACATAATTTAAGGCTTTTGTTTGTAAGTTTGCTCTTAATATACATGTTTATTTGGTTAATATACTAATTATTTAGGAATTTTTACTATATGTATTAAAAATTCAACTTTTAATTCTTTTGTAGAATCTTACTACAATTTGAAGTGAATTAGAAAAAAAAACTATGCAATATGATAATGATTAAAGATTGAAACCTATTCCATAGCCTTGTAAGGACAATGACAATTTTTTAATAGGTTTAGTCTATCAAAGAAGGATTTTTAAAACAAAATTATTCTACAAGATTCGTATGTGGGATCTAAGTATGTCTCTTTAGCCACAATCCATATTAAATTTGATTAGATATAACATGTAGTTAAGTTCCACAAAATGACTAGTTAAAAATTTGTATATAAAGTATGCAATAATATTTTTTCAAATTTTGTAAGTTCATTTTTACATTTTAAATCCTGTAAAAAATTTGGATTATAATATTGTCATCCAAATAATATTTAGGCTTTATTTTCATATATTCTAAATGATTAGTTTATTTGAATCTTATATTTGATAAAAATAATTAGATTTAATTATCTAAGTATTATAGTTTTTAGTATCTATCTAGTTGATAGTATAGTAAAGAAGTTTTTCACGTCTATTAGATTGAAATCCTTATTAGTGATTTGTTAATTAGCTATTTTGTTAAATCTTTGGTTTTGTATTAGCATTCCTTTGTCTGTAAAGAATTACATCTATGTCTTTAAATGGTGTATATTTTATTTAAAGGCCCTTTCTACATCATAATAAAATGTAAAATGGTAGCTATAATTTTATTAAAAATCAATAAAAAATATTCTATTAAAGTTAATGTGTGTTGAATACTAATAATTTATTTAATATTAAATTCTCTCATTAAAAAAAAGGTTTCAATCACAATAAATTTGATTTTAATGCCAAATAAGAAACTAGGAGAATTAGTAATTCTTTTAGAATTATGCTACTGATATATGCATATATATATATGCATATATATATATATATATATATAGATAGATAGATATAAAAGTCTACATATATAAAAGTCTATATATTTAAATAATAAAATACTACATGATATTTTTAAAAAATTAATATTAAAATAAAAATAAAATAATTATATAAATGAAAAGACCAATGTAGACATATTTATATTTATATATATATATATATATATATATATGCATATATATACATACACACACACACACACACACATATATATATATATATATATATATATAAACATAAGAATATTAAATTGAACCATTATCAATAAAAAATTATTAGTCATTTAACATCCTTACAAACTTCTCTTCTTAGCATACATCTTCTACCAATCTTTCTTCATAGTTCACTTCCAACTTCCCTCCAATGTAAAACAATCTTCTAGTTATTTGTATCTATCTTTCCAACTAACATTTCAAATTTAAATCTCTTGTTCTTCATTTGAGTAGCTTCATTATAATTGTTACCAAGGATTCTATTTTCTACCACTTTCACCCCCTTGTTGAATAACTATATCACTAAGTACAAAATTAACAAATTGGTGAGAGAGTAGAAAGTCCTAGGGAAATAAGTATCTATAGAGATAAGTAAGTTGATTTAAGTTTTAAGTAGATTGATCTAATATATATGAAACTGAATATTTTTAAACTACTTAAGATTAAATTAAATATTAATTAAAATATTTAAAAAAAGAATCCAATATACAAGAGGATTATATTAATTTCTTTAGAAAAATAAAATAAAATAAAATAAAAGTGAAGGAGATAGAGACATAAAGAAAAAAGAGCAAAAAATTAAAAAAATTAATTTTGTGGTAGGAAAGAGTCCTTAATAAATATGTAAGTTTTACCTTAAAATCACATAAGTATAATATTGAAACAATGCTTATTATTAGATTAAATAATAAAAATAGTTTAAAAATAAAGAAAATAGTGAAAAATAATAGATGTTTAATCTTGTTGAAATATACATATCAGATTAGTTATTTTGTAACATATTTCTAGTATTAATTATAATTTTATTTAGATTCATTATATATATATATATATATATATATATATATATATAATATTATGATATCAATATTTATTTTTAATATTTTGATTTTATTACATTATATATTTTATCTTATATATTTATTTTTATATTTCAATTGATATTAAGATCTAATATATAGTATTATTAGTAAATCTAATTAATTAGATATTAGACCTGATTGGATAGATACTAAACATTAAATGAATCTAAATTAATAAGATCCAAATTGTGGATAAATTTCAACCATTAAGATTTAGATAATAGACAATATTAGACTAGTAGAATCTAAAAATATAAAAAACTTGGTATTTTGTTATGTGAAATTTAGTTTTACTATAACTTCATGTGAAAGTAATTTTAATTTACCTTAAATTTTTTCTTGTAATTAAAAAGAATATATAATGTATTTGAAAACACTTGTTTCTACAATCATAACCTTCTTAAAGTCTTCAAGAAAATCAAATTTTATTAATCAATCACTTAATTAATCAATCAATTAATATCCATGGATGACCTTACTTTGATAACTTTCAAGGTTGTTTATATGTCCTTTACTCATCTCTAAGATATTTGAGTGTATTTCTAGCTCTTGGATATGGATCTTACTAATATTCTTTAAGCCACTACCAATATTAATCAAACATCAAATGATATTCACAAAAATCCTAAAAACTCCTAAAATTTCTTATAATAATTCGAAAAAAATCTATCAATCTTTAATAGAATTCTAATCAAATCCAAAAATTTATAGCCAAAGCCTAATTAATCTTTAGAAAAATCCTATCTTAATCCTAACTAAAATCTATAAAAAGTAAATATAAATTCTAATAAATTTCTAATTAGATACTTACCAAATCTTAACCAAATCCTAAAGAAACCTTTTTTGAACTCTAATCAAATCTTTATCAACTATAAAAATCTATTAAAAAATTAAAATCTAATTACTTATTAATTAATTATTGAACTTATCTTAAACTTTATAAAAAAATTAATTCTAAGCTAAAAATATGTGAATTGTTTTTGAAAAGAATCACACTAAAAAATAGTAAGAAAAGTCAAAATTATGCTAATGGATTAGATAGTCTTTGATTTCCAACCTTAATGTTAAGATCTTGGTTCTAATATTACCTTCTTATGAAAAAATAGAGCAAGTTTTTGAAGGTCATATGCACTTCTTAGGCTATTTGGATATTTTTAAACACTATAGTAAACTCAAAAATCCAAAATAATAGTAGTACTAGTAGACAATAGAAAGACTAGCAATTATTCTAGTCCTTATTTGAAGGAAGGTGTACAAGTTTTATATGGGTTATAGCACCTTGGCTATAGGTAGGAGAATAAGACTAAGACCTTGAAGCCTCTCTAGGAGACCCATATACACTACTTGTGAGTCTTGATAAGGCTCAAATTCTTGATTTCTTAAGCAACTTATTCTTGAGGTAAAAATTATTCATTTAATTTTTAAAATATTTTTATTATATTTTAAAATTATGATAATTTATTCATATTAATTTGAATTTATATATTTTTTATGTCATTGGATAGATAAAAAAAATTACCTAATTAAATATATATATTTTTATTTTTTATATTTATATTTTTATTGGATAAAAATCTATTAAATAAATTATAATTAATTTTATTGTATGTAATATCTTAATTGCAATTATTTCACATTTTGTTTTTGCTCTTCTTTTCTTCTTGTTT